TCTTTTAGTGCTCTCTTCTGGGCATCTCCTTTTCTTCTAAAATCCTGAATTTTGACCCAACATCTCTCAAAGACGATGCCTCTGACATCACTACCCAGGGCACTGCATGAAAGCCTGAAGCACACGATGTCTTCTGGTCCCTGGTTGTTCACCTGGAGCACCATCTCACACACAATAGCCTGGGGAACGTACTTAGACTGGCATTCTTCTTTCTTGAAATTTATTGTGTTTATATTTTGAACTGCTTTCAGGGCTACCTGCTAGAACTGTCCAGTCATATCTACCAGTGTTCTATTATTTTCTAGGCCCAGTAAAAAGTGGAGGTTGAAGGTTTCAAGTATCTCCTTCATTTGCTGTAAAATTGGAATGATTGACATTACAGATACATTTTTAAAATTCTAGTATGTATTTTGGCAAATAGTTACTTTTCCCATATATTTCTGTTATCTAGCATACTTGAGTGTTTGTTTTGTTTGTTCCACATACTCTTCTGATGTGGAAAATGGAGGTGGAATTGGATAAAGGGAAAGCAAAGCATGTTAGTTCAAGAGGGTTTGTAAGATCCTAGTCCCATTAGACCAGCAATAGATAGACCTATCTAGACATTCCTTTATAATTCTCTGCAGGTGCTTTTGAGACAACTCTCTGTACATCCACCCAAACTACAACATGGTTATTGTGTCCTTCATAATGTCCAAGGATTTACATCAGTACTTCATTGTCTGCTGATCTTTGTCCTTTGTTTCCTTACCTTTGTCCCAGGGAGCTCCTGGTTGCCATCAAACTTACATTTTAATAGCCAACACAATACATTTTATATCCTTTCACACAACAAATTGGACACTTTCACCCTGACATTTGTGTCATTCATTCAATCTAAAATATTTTGCCAGAAATAAAGTAAAATAGTAAAAGAGAGGAGACAGCACAATAAACAGCGCTCATTTCAGAACAAGATCCAGATTTAGCAATCATTTTTTGTTGAATCTATTTACCATATTCAAGTATGAGAAGGATCACAACTATCCCATTATTCCTTAAATATTGCTTTCCGTTATGTCCCTCTTTCTACCTTTCGAATGCTTACTAGTATATGATGGACTAGCTCTTTATCTCCTTCTCTGTTAATCCTTTTTACTATAATCCTTGTTTTCTATATCATTATCTGGCATTGTTCGTATAATTTAGTTAGTTTCGTCTTCCAGTTCATGATTCTTTATTGGACTATGTTCTTTAATTTTTTCTTCCACTGTAGTGGTTTTTAAAAAAAAATATTAGACATTCTACTTTTACAGAGTTGTCTCATTTAGAGTAGTTTTTCCATTCTTTTGTTTTCAATCCCTTAACAATTATAATTATATCTACCATGTATGAGATGGGGTGCTATAAACAAGAGGCCTATATTTTAGCTGAAGACATAAAGAAAAACACACAACATAAAACTATTTTTGCCTTGTAGAGTACTTGACAGGTTCAATATGAATGGAACAAGGGGAAGAATATAAGAGAGATAATCTATGCAAGATTATGTTGAGCCTTGCAGAGCTTGATAAAGTCTTTAAAGTTCATACTAGGTAGGATTGGAAGTCATGGGGTGTAATGAACAAGGAGTCACAGTCTGATTTAAGTTTTTAAAGCCTCACTCAGTTTTATAAAGAATAAACTATAGAAGTTGAAAGCTGGGAAAACAGCCACCACATTTTTCAGTTGTCTGTGTCACTCGTGACCTAATATATGGTGGAAGCAGTGGAAATGGGGAGGAGCATTGTATTTCCATAGTATCCATTAGAATATGCTGGTGGAGGGGATGTGACAGGGCTTCCCTGAGCCTCCAAAAAATCAACTTGTCTACATCTTAATTTCATCCCTCACATCCTCATTCATCAGGTTGAATGGCAGAAGACTCTTAAGCCACTTTCTTCATCTGTGGTGTTTTTTTTTTTTCATCTGTATTTTTAACCCCTCATGCCCACCCCTGGCATCGTAGTCCACATCTTCCCTCCTTTGAACAAAACTATGAAAGCACCCATATATATCATCTTCTGCCAGTAAATGCAAAAGGCATGAGGGGTGTTACTGATTCAAAACACCTAGTCTCCTGTTACGTGACTCAAAACACCAGGTGCTATTATTTTTCAGAAGTACAAATAATGTTGTAATTAATACAAAGTCAAAGAAACCAATAGTGTAACCAAATCCTGATGAAACCAGAATTGAAAAAGATGAAAAAGAGAAATGAGGTTAAAGTAAGTTGAAAAAAAAAAAAAAAAGCAAAGCAAGGGAGGATCTGTGATAGGTGGGCTGGTGGCTCTCTTCAGTGAAGGATAAGGCTTAAGAGCATCTTCTGAGGGCTGGCAGTGTTCAGCCTTTTGGGCTTTATAATGGTTTGTTTAGCTGTACGTTTTCAGTTGTGTTGTTGCTTTATAAATCACAATAGAATGTGAAGGTGGTTATGGGAAAACTGGATGGGATAGGTATAATTCCCATAATCTTAAACCATTTTCTATTCGGTTTTCAAACTATATGCATTATTACACTTAATATTTCTAATGTAAATTACTATACCAATGACCTTGGATTAGATAATTACATGAAATTTTGATTTTATATGTTTAGTCTATATAATCTTCAAAACATAAAGGCTTGCTGTGCAAGCGCAAGGACCCGAGTTCGATCCCCAGTACCAAAAAAAAAATAAATAAAGGCTTGTTTTTGTAAGTATATAATAATTGTTCTTAAATACAAGTATTATTATTATTTTCTTTTAGAATCTAATATTCTGTATTAAGTTCTGCTTTGAGCTCCTGCTGTTTGATGTAGGTCATTAAATATTAAGCTTTAACTATTATAAATACAAAAAATATAAAGAAAAAAATAAATTGGAAGGAAAAGAATTTCATTCCTGGAGTTATTATCAGGGATATTGGAGGGTGTATTTTTTGTTAGTCATGGAAGTTTAGGATTGTAACTAACATTAAAAAACACTGAATTCAAATTTTGTGCACTTTTGCACAAACTGTTGCTTAGACCTCTTCACCAGAATGGTAGGGAATGAAAATGCAGCCCGGACCAGAGACTCCAGTGGTGTTAGGAGGTAGAAAGGGTTTGGACCTTCGTGACCACAAAATCTGAGTTCTACTATTCTAACCTCAGATGTGATCTCTAATCTTCATTTTCCCAGTCTAAAAATGGAGTTAATAATCCTCACTTTTCAAGATATTTTGTGAAGCTTTTGTTACTTCCCTTCTCTTTGGTGACTCATTCCTTCCCGGAGAAGCCCAATTGTTCTCAGTACAAAATTCTGAATCCTTTTTGTATATTGACCCTGACAGTTGTTTCCCTGTCACCTGAGTTCTAGCTTCAAATTCCTTGGGGTTTTGGAAAAAGTGTACTCCTTTTTTCTTATGACAACACTTGAGCTCAGAAATCACAAAGATGAATGCTTATAGAGACAAGCAGGTAAGTTAATTGGGTAGAGTGGCAAGACTTATGAAAACTGACTGCTGCTCCACTACCAGTCTGTGCTCAGAATTGGACAAACAAATGTGCATTTCTAACATGTCACTGCCACCTAATTAACTCAGGGATGTTTTTATAACTCTGACCAGTGTTATATGAGCCCCTCAAAAAAATATGTCTATGAGCAGATCAGGTATTAGAGCCAGCATATTACAACTTCCATTTACATCATTGTAAGCAGTTACCAGGCCTTTCTTAGCTAAGCAGCACAGCCACTTCATACTGACAAGCAGCTCATGCCTGGCACACAACAGGTGGGACTGAAATCCAGCCTGCCCTCAGGTCACCAGAACATTTGTTCTAATCCACTTCTAGGCCTCTGTGAAGCAGAAGCAGGCTGCATGAGTATACCGGTCTCCTTCAGTGCATGCTCACGAGGTAAATTCTGCTCATCTCACAGACACATTTTTTTTTTTCCTTTCTAACACACCACAGTTCATCAAAGTAGACATTCTAGAAATTGTGTAAAAAATACAAATGTGGTGTGACCAGCACATTCCATGGAGTGCAAACTGTCTTCCCTTTACTTAAAAAAGATACTCTTAAGTTGGCTCCTTAGATCTTATAATAATCCATGGAATGATTTCAAGGGATCTGTGAACCTCCTGATATTGTATAAAAAGATTGTGCAGGGTTTGGATATATATGAATATCTTTTAACAGACTATTTAAAAGATTAACACCCCAAAGAAGATTTCAACAATCATTATGCAAATTTTAAACCATATTTCAACAAAGTAGTCTGAAGCTTTAGATTTTGGAAGGCAGTCCTATCAGAAGATCGATCAATACTGAGATTAGTCTCTACTAAAAACAACTTTTCTTTTTTCATACAAAGCTCCACAGCCCCCTGGTGGTCCTGGTGTAATTATCCACACCACACTAACCCAATGAATGATGATATTACTTAATCCAAATCTGAGACCTAAGAGTAAGATTTTATTTCATTTTATTAGACTGATGCTGTGTTAGTTACTTTTTTCTCATTGCTGAGAAGAAATACCCGACACTGAAAGTTAAAGGAGAAAGGGCTTATTTAGTCCAGTTTTATAGAGGTTTCCATCCATAATCAGCTGGCTCCAAGGCAGAGCAACACATGGCAGAGGGACTTTGCAGAGGAGAAACAGTTCATGGCACCCACATGGTAGCAAAAGCATCAAGGGAGAAGACAAGCTTCTTTCTGTCCCTTATATTTTATCCAGGCTACAAGATAAGGGTGATGCCAAACCACTGTACTGGTTTAGTAATCACATGCCCTTAATCCCAGCATCACACACTCTAGATTCACCCACCTCTGAAAAAGCCACCTATGACCACGTGAGGCTTTGGGGGGACATCTGGACTCAAACCATAACAGATGCCAAAATCTATAATGCTATGATTCTTAAGACCAGGAAAAATAATACACTTCTGGGATATTTAGTTCAATATTTAGTTCCTATATAATTAAAAGAACTTCTCTTCCTTTTTCTTTACTGTAGGTCGAAAGTTTAAAAAGTTCAATAAAGTCAGAGTTATGAGAGCACTAGATGGCGTTGCTCTCCCACAACCAGTGGGCATTTCAAATGAAAGCCAAAGAATCACTTTTTCACCAAGTCAAGAAATACAGTTGGTCCCTCCACTGATCAACCTGTTGATGAGTATTGAACCAGATGTGATCTATGCAGGATATGACAACACAAAACCTGATACCTCCAGTTCTTTGCTGACGAGTCTTAATCAACTAGGCGAGAGGCAACTTCTATCTGTAGTCAAGTGGTCTAAATCACTGCCAGGTAAAAATGATATTTAACAGCATTCAACAAAAATGTACTGTTTTTGTATATTTGTACATGTATATTGTTAAATAAAACTGTGTGTTAGCAAATTAACTGTAATGTAAAAAGCATGTTACATTGTATGTTCCAGCAGTTCAAAATGCTACATACCTTCATGTGTGCTATGGAAATACAAAAGAAGTATGAGTCTTGTTCATAAATCAAGAATTATATACATGAAACAGTTAAGAAATAGAAAATATGTGTCCAACCACTGATATAATAGCAGTTCAAGAAAGACATGTTGACCATTTTTTAAAATGTCTAGTTTATTCTAAAACTTAATTGAACAAACTTTAATTGGTCAGAAATAAAACTGAATGTATCTACTCATGTAACAAGTCAGAATTCACAGTATAGTAAGGTATCTAAGGTCAACTAAGAAAAAAAATTCCTAAACATAAAAAAGTTATTTGGGCTTAGAGAAAATAACCTCCAGTCACTATTTCTTCTAAGTTATAACCAGATAAAGGGGCTATAGCCCAGCAACAGTGAGGACTTAGATTATATCATCATGAAAGTATTTCAGTCACTTTATCTCCCATGTTGTTCCTTCTACATAGCTCCATCGGAGCCAAGTGGTTGAAAGAATAAGGATGAAATTCTCACTTGGGTAAATCTTAGACTGCAGTACAAGAAGAAAATGTGCAGCAATTGTTTGTGGAGGTGTTAATCTCATGATTAGAAATAAATCTTTTTTCAAAAATTACATTCTCTTCACACCAGTAATATCTTTATACTTCTTTAGACCAATTTATTTTTTCCAGTCTCTGATCAAGAATATTATGTCCTTTTAGTCCCCAAGTAAATTCAGTAGGATGTTTGGAAAAAAAATCCTTTCCAATTTGCCTTAATATATTTTTCAATTATTATTCTACCTGAAAGGTTTGAAACATAATAGATGAATTGTTATTGAACATTCAAGGTTGCTTAAAGAAATAGAAAAATAGATCCCTGTTTGGTGAATTTTTAAAAAAACTACATATTGAATAAAAGTTGCCCAGCTTCTTATTAATTTCATTCTAGCTGAAGGCCTTGGACAGGTAATTATTTTTTTTCATTAGGAAAGTTCTGAATAAGTTCTGTAAGATTGTTATCAAACTTGACCACCCTTTACTAAGCAAAATGTTCTAAGAACATTGATAAAATTAGTATATAAAATATGTATGTTTAAAAGTATTTTTAATTTATCTATTATTTAGATACGATTTTTGATAGAGGTTATATTTCTGTTGTTTGTATTTTATGTTCCAAAAGACTCTAACATTAGCTGACAAATTTAGAAAATCAGCAATTATATTCAAAAGATAAATTATTTACTATGGATAAAAGTTAAGTGAGCTTTTTAAGTTGAAACAGATACCTACCAGTAGTGTTTGACCCCATTTGAAAGAAAGGAAAGAAGGAAAGAAGGGGAAGGGGAGGGAAGGAGGGAGGAAGGAAGGAGAAATTTTTACTTTGATTTTGGTGACAATTATTTTATTATCGAAAATATAATTTATATGTAGCAAATGAGAATGATAGCAACACTGTCATTACATATACTGTTGCCATTAACTATAAACAAGGGAAGTATTGGAGTTATCAAAGCATTGTGACCATTGTGGCCTATGGTCTTTCTAAACCATATTTGCATAGACTGCATTTGGAAGTAGCACTACTGATTGAATGATGAAAATGCTCAATGAACTCATCTATCTTGGATTCCAAGAAAGGACTCATAGGGACATGTTTATAATCTAGTATCATTAGCTACTCCAAACTGGTTTCAGTTGACTTTAAACAATGTTAGTTTTTATTTACTGATTCACTCATTACATGACTATTATATACCTTCTGTGTGCAAGATCTAAGAAACAGTAGTGTTAGGAAATCCAGAAAGCTAGATTCATGGTGTGAATACATTTTGGTGCAAGATACAATACCATTTGGTCCATCAGTTGCACACATATGAGAAGTTTACTTTATCCATTCACTTATGTGTAATAAGACTAATAAAACTGTTTAATATAGACTTTTGTTAAAGTTGCCCTTATAATAAGATAGAATATGAATTTACTTACAGTGCAAAAAAATTCTTTGCTAGACTTTGAAGTCATTCTTTCACAATAGGAAAGTATATTTTGGAAATCAGATTAAGAGAAGGTGCAGAATAATCATTATAACAATGATGATAACCATACATGGGGATCCCTAGGCATAAATCTGCAGATATTTTGAGGATTCTTGTTGCTTAGTCAGGACTTCTTTTCTTATTTGTCTATATATTTTCATTATTTTTGACCAGTTACAATAATTGCAGCTTATCTTATTTCTCTATATATTTCAAAGATATTCTTTTATTATTTAATAGAGATTTGCAAGATGCTCTATCCTCATGAAAGGATATTTATAAACCATCGCTTAGGGTACACTGCATCAGACATACGGTATTTGTATATAAATGATTTTACATTGACCTTTATGTGTAGCTTCAGTGAGCAATATTTGGAGTTTAGAGCAAAACATTATCTGTGAAATTTAAAAATTGAACAACATATTTCTTCTACTAAGGAACTTTTGAGCCAATAAGAGACATAAAATATTGAACAGCATGTGTGGATGTGGCATGAGATACAAATATAAAAAAGGTTGGCGCAGAAGAACATTCAACATTGGGGAATAAAGAAAGGAGATATGCGATTTGTCAGGCTACCAGACTTTATCCTTGATAAAAAGAAGTGCCAGATAGAAGGAAGAATGTGTATGATGTTGTAAGGAAAGGAATGCTCCAGATCTATCTGGTGATTAATGAATTAAACCAGCATAAGACAATGGTTCCTAACCTTTTCAAATGTGAGAGTCTCTTAAAAACATCAAAACTTTTATCATAGGTCACTCACCACACAAAAATGAGTGGCCTACTAGGACTAAAATTAGGCTTTGATAAAGGCTTTTATGAAGACTTTCAAAAATCACTTTTCTAACACCTTATTCCACTGAAATTACTGTTGTCCATGTCAAAAAAATATTTTTGTTAAATGAATATTTTAAGCCCTTACCATGTTTCACATACCTGTGAGGCCATTGACAAACTATTTCATAACTCCTGTTTGTTCTTCCATTCATATCATAAATTTGTCATGGCCTAAGCTCTGTCCTCTACTCCAGTACGCTCTCACTCTGCACAGTCTGGATGATTCATTCATAGCCTTTCTCTAATTACCACGATATCCAAATACTTTTTTTTCAATACTTTTAAATATGTACCATCAGCCCAGACCTTCTACTAAGCTATTGGACTGTATATTTCAAGAGCTTCTTACACTTCACTATCTAGATGAACTTCCAAGTGAACATGACCTTCTTCTCATGAAACCTAACCTCTTTTTTCTGTATGTTGAAATGACACCTCAACCAGACTCTTTGGCATCCTCTTTGGCTCGTTTTCTTCTTAATCCCTAGGTCAGCTGTCAAATTCTGTAAACTCTGCTTATTAAATATATCATGCATTATACATACAACTTCCACTGCTAATGCCATCCTGATTTAGTTTTATATCATATTTTACCTACATTTCAGCCCCCAAACAATCCTCTATCCTGCCCCAAGAATCATCCTTTTTTAAACAATTATAACAAATTATGTTTTCGCCTTTTCTTTTCAGAGTATAAGTCTAAACTCCTTAGCACTCGTATCAAAGGCCTTTCTGTGATCTGGCTCTTGAATTTGTAATATTAGCTCTTAGGAGTTTTTCTTTAAGAAACTGTAAGATCCAGTTCCCAGAATTCTCTTTGACCCATTTTCTTCGTCTTTCTGCCCATGTTGTTATTTACCTACCTGGAGGCCCTTCTCTTTTCCCACCTCTTCTGGCTGGCCCTTCACTAGCCATCAGGATTCACATCATCTGACAGTTCCACTACAGTGATTTCCCAGAGTCTTCCGAGATTAGGTGAAGGCACTCTTCACTTGCCCACTCTCCCTCACATCTGTCAACCACAGCACCAACACTGTAGATTAAAATCGTGTTCTGCTTTTATGTCTGTCTCACTAGATTATACGTGTTAAAGGCAGAAACACCATCTTCGTAATTTTTGTGTTTAGTGGAAGCCATAATGCTTCACTTCAATTAGGTGCTTGAAATAACTTACAGAAATTTAAAGAATAGAATTGTTATACAAAGAACTACACCACTTTTTAAGTCGTCAAGCACATGCCGCAGATCACACACATTATATATACTAAAGCTTCTCTGTCCTTTTCTGAGTTCATATTTGCATGTGAAAGTTCCTGCTTTGTGTCAGAAGGTGCTTGAATATATAATCCTCTGCCCTTGTTTCGCATTAGCTGTTTCAGTTGCATGACATTTTTTTTAACCTGAGTACACCCTGTGTATTTTATCAGAACTCTGGAAGTAATGTAATACAGGCCATCTCTTTACTGTATTGTTTCTTTTAATATTTTTAAGAGTTAAAAATTGGACATCTTGTAACCTGAGTTTTTTGGGGAGTTATCAAGTCATTTAAAAAGCAAGGGCATTTTTTTATACTATTGCTAAGCACAATTAGTGACCATCAGTTCTCTGTGTTTTCCATTTTGATCATCATCTCAAATGTACTAAATTTACCTCATCATTATCACCATTTGCAATTTGATCTCAATGTTCCCATCTTTGTTTCAGTATAAAATAATAGAATATTTCAGTTAATGCAGAAAAAATTATACTTCCATACAAGGAATATTCACATCAATTTAACACTGTACATTTATCACAGATAAGCCCTGCAAAAGGTAAAGTAAATAGAGGTTATTTTCTGAGTTCTGTTCTGTTAAATGGAAATATATTTTCTGCTATAAATGTAGGTAATTGGATACATTTTAAGATATTTTGATAAAATTTGCCTTTTTATTATAATAAAAGTGTTCCTTTATTTCAAGTCTTTAATAATCCCAGAATTCAAAAACAAAACAGAAAAAGCAAAAAGACAAAAACAAAGATTAGGGAAAAGTGAATTTAAATATAAATAGAATCCCTATTTTTTTAAAAAGAGTAAGTGAATGGCTTGTTGTATAAATTTATAGAACTTTTTTTTTTTTTTTTTGGTACTGGGGATCGAACTTGGGTCCTTGCGCTTGCGCAGCAGGCAGTGAAACCACTGAGCTAAATCCCCGGCCCCCAAATTTATAGAATTTTTATAAAACTAGCTAGGGGTTAACAAAATAAAAGTAGAAAAATATAGCGTAGTTATGTCAGATATTTAAGTATTTTAAAATTTTTTCTATAGAAAGTTATAAAAGTGAATGTGAAAGAATATAGAGAATAATAAATATATTGTAGGAATTTATATTCCTGGGCATTAATCTTTTAATATAGCTAATTAACTGTAAAAAAGTTTTCTACAAGCATCTCTATACATACATATATATATATATATAAAACTTTTGACAAAATATATATGAAGCACATATTGTAGGAAATATATATCCCAGATAGAATATTTATCTTTTGAATTTATTGCCATTACTAACATTTATACTTTAGTTGTATTACACAGGTTCTATAATATAAAATGACATAAATTTCAATCTCCTGTTTTAAAATTAGAGACTTTCTATCAAACAGTACTGGCTTTCATACACCAATTTCTCTATGGAGCAGCTCTGTTATAAAAACCATTGATAGATTAATAGCACATATTTGTATTGTGCTTTACAATATGCATAATTATCTCATATGAGTTTATGGCAAGTGATTGAATTAGTTATCATTATTGTTGTTCTCTTATCTATGAAGAAATGGCTTGCCCTCAGTGGTTTTCACTAAGGATAGAACTGGGATGGGAACTTAGGTCTTCTGTCCAGAACTCCTTCTAAGAGGAGTATTATGTATATATGCACTTGACAGTATATCTAAGTTATATGAAAATAAAGAAAATGATGAAAATTACATGCCAATTTTTTTGGATGGTTATTTAGAGCCTCTCTGTGCACCTGAGTAAATCAGAAGTCTTAGATGCCCACAAAAACCAGAAACAATTGTGTTAATTCTATAAAATTTTTTAAAAACTCATAAAAATGCTAAAGGACACCATGGAGTCACTAAATAGAAGTTAGAGGGCAAATATAGAAAATGGGCAGAAACTGAGGTGTCTCTAAAGGACATAAAAAACAGCATTACAACTACAGCCACTGTATCCTACCACCCGAGTGCCACCCTCATTCAGAATAAATATCTATGTTTGCTTCACTAATTCTGATTCAGCATCCTGGTAATCTGTGGTCCATAAGCCCAGGAATGCAGAGGCTTTAGCCAGCTTCCTTAGTATGAAGGTTGGACACTTGGTGTCACCAGACTCCAACCAGTGGTAATCTGTCCACACAGAGAAAGGATGAAAGACAGGGAGGGAGGTTAGACACTGAACAGTGCTTCGTGTTTCCTACTCCCCACCCCCAAGAGGGAGACCTCTTATGAATATGCACTAGAGTTGTTCTGGGTCCCAGTAAATATGAGGAGTTCTAAAAGGTGAGTAGCAGTCCTCCTACTATTCACAGGAAGGTGGGGCATTTGGATTAGGTAGAGAAAAAACAGCTTGCTTTTCTGCTACTATCTTTAAGTATCTAATGTAGTCAGGAAATTAGTTTCTTTTGCCCTTGGTATCTAATGAATTAAGTTTTGCTTTGGTTTTATTTCTGAAATGAGTCATTTGTAAATGTGTTTTAATGGATTTTAAGAGAAACATGTTATTCATAGAGCTTCAAAATAATGGTTGCTGTTTTTACCCACGTTTTTTCTTTTAACCTTTAATAAAAGATTTTACCTACTTTCCTTGTTTCAACTACAATCAGATGTAAGTATATTACATATTTATATTTCCAGCCCAGATGTCTCCCCAGTCCTTGTTCACATGCCTGGTTGGTATCTGGATATTTTTGAGGTCCCTCAAACATGTCCACAATTTACACTTTTCTCTCCAGCTTGTTTCTCCTCCATTACAGCACTTTATCTTACCAATGCTATGATTACTAAAGCATTTGGTGAGGGGAGGGCGGAATTACTGAAAGATATATTTGAATCCTTCTTCCTGACTACATATAATTGCTAAATCTCTTTTATTTTACTCTGTACATAAATATTTCTCTGAGAACTCTCAATTCCTGTATGTTGACTTATTTCAAGCTTTTTTCATCTCACCTGTCCTTTGTCAGTAGCTCCCTTAACTCCAAAACTTACTCCCCTGAAAATATCTTCCACATAGATATCAAGGACCCATCTATAACATATACAAGGCTGCATCTCTTCCACTGCTTCTTAATAGATGAGACCTTTCATAATCTGACCCAAGCTTACACCTCCAAGACAAGTGATGTTAAAGGAAAATTAGACAGCACAATTGATAGCAGTGATTTTACAAACTAAAATCAATTTATTTTTAAATTCTCTAAGATTGAGATTCCTCAAAAAACTAAACGTATTCCACCTAAGCATTCTCTTTATCTTTTAGTAAGTTTTTCTTGGTCTGCTTTCCAGTTCACTGCTGTACACCTTTTAAGGTCTCTGTCACAGATCTCGTGTGCTTGACTCTCCTGTTGAGTTGTGAGCTTCTTTTGAGGGCAAGGATTGGATATCACTCATCTTCATAACCCTAACACTTCAACATGGTGCCTGGCATGGAGCCCTACACTGGAGGGTGTTGTCTAAATGAGTGACAGATGATTGATTCAGTTAGCATATTCCCAGAAATGCTAAGTCACAGTGATTAATTTTCAATGACTCCCAAAGTTGTGCCCTTTTTTCATTTTAAAGCTATATTATTTGTTAATCTTTCCTGAATTTTAAGGTAAGAAATATTGAGATTGAAAACATAGCATGCTAACATCTATTTTCATATTCCTGTGTGCTTTCAACGTTTTCAAAACACATCTTTGTGATCATTTTAAAATGTGTTTTGTAGGCTTTCGAAACTTACATATTGATGACCAGATAACTCTCATTCAGTACTCTTGGATGAGCTTAATGGTTTTTGCATTAGGATGGAGGTCCTACAAACATGTCAGTGGGCAGATGTTATATTTTGCACCTGATCTAGTACTAAATGAGTAAGTAGTAACTTTTTTATTATCATGAGTGTGTATGTAAGATAATTTTGAAAATTATACTTCAATAAATGATTATACATTTACTTAATATCCGAAATAATAGAATTTACTGAAAGATTTCTCAGAATTACCTGAGGATACAGCTTGATATGATCATCTTAATAAGATTGTATCATTTCTATCAGTAATTTTGGTATTTGGAAATTTTTCCTTTAGTTTCAATATATACTTTTTACTCAAATTTATTAAATTCTTCAAAATTGCATCAACAAATATACTTAAAAAATTAAATGTTTAGGTTTATAAAGTTTTATACCTTAGTGCCAATAAAGATATTGAAATAAATTACAAATATCATTTTGAAAGTATTGACTTAACTCTGAAAAGTAGAAATATTATCTTTTTTCCTATAAGAAAAACTAGACTGGTAATTTATTTTAAAATTGGAAGATAAACATTTCAATTTGCTTTAGTATATTTAAATAATTAATTTTCTACATATAACATTTAAATAAATAAGAATCATTTCACGGTAATATTTATGGTGTTCCAATGGTGAATCCTGACTTCCTGTAAGTAATTAATAACTTATACTTGTTTAAGACTTCATAGTTCACAATTTTCATATATTTCATTTCATTTTTCTGAAAACCCTTTAAAATAGGCAAGGAATTATCATCCTTCATTTTACAATTCAAAAAACTGAGGTTCAGGAAAATTCAGTAACCTACCAAAGAATCTGGAAGAATTAATCTTAACTCTTCTGAGTAAAAATCTAATCTTTTCACTATTCTCCTTAGCTTTTTTTGACTAATGTGGACATTATAAAACAGTACATGGCTGAGAAAATACCTTAAGTAAGTGTCCTCTACCATTAGCATTTATTTTTAATCTTGACAATTATTTAGTTCTTGGTAATGTTCCTTTTTATTCTTTTCTACATCACCATTCACCATATATTTCCCCTAGAAAAGGTCACAATGTAATTACTTTCTGTTGAATTCTCCCATTCAATTGCAACCAAACATTATATACCTACATATGTGTGTGTGTGTGTGTGTGTGTGTGTGTCTGTGTGCGCACGTGAGTGCATTTTCATGGGAAAAATAAAGAATTTCTAAGCATGCCTCAGCTCACATTCTCAACTCCTATGACTTTTCTATTCTTTTCTTGGTTTAGATATTTAAAGTGTTGATAATGAAAAAGAGAAACAATATTGTCTGGTCAATGTATATTTAATTTTTTTATAATTTAAAAATTATTTATTTTAACCTCAAAAATTTAGTGTCAGAGTGGGGCATAGTAGTGCACACCTATAATCCCAGTATTCTGGGAGCTGGAGACAGGAGGACCACAAATTTGAGCCCAGCTTGGGCAATTTAGAGACTTAGCAAGAACCTTTCTCAAAAATAAAGGCTGGAGGGCTGGGGATTTAACTCAGTGGTTTCGTCGCCTGTTGCACAAGCGCAAGGACCCGAGTTTGATCCCTGATACCAATAAATAAATAAATAAATAAATAAATAAATAAATAATAAAGGCTGTAGCTGTAGCTCAGGGCAAAGGCCTTAGGTTTAAATCCCAGTATTGCTCCCCAAAAAGTACTTGTTATGAAAAAGTTTAAAGATGTTTAAAATTTCAAATATTAAGTTTGTTTATGAAATATAGTAGTCAGTCTCACTAATATGAGAAATAATTACTAAAATCCTATTCTATGATATATTACGTAAACTGGCTGAGACTTTTTTCCTGTTGCTTTTTCATGTGTGTTTACGTGTGGAGCTAGACAGCGTATGAAAGAGTCATCGTTCTATTCATTATGCCTTACCATGTGGCAGATCCCACAGGAGTTTGTGAAGCTTCAAGTTAGCCATGAAGAGTTCCTCTGTATGAAAGTATTACTACTTCTTAATACAAGTGAGTACAAGTAACTTAATAAAAGATATCTCATTTCTCAATTTTCAATTCATTACTGAAGCCTCAAATAATAATATGATCATTTAATTATTTATGAGGTGTAAATCTTAAATTGTAACTGTCAAGAAATATCCAATGTTATCGTAGACATTAATAAAGTTACTTGATGTTTTTTGTATTTTACCCACCTATGATAATAAAATAGTCTAGCCATTGTACTTTAAGCTATGCTTAAATGCTTTTTCATATTCACCTAATTTAATTAATATTGCATAAATACAAACTATGGTTCCTCCATCCTCCCAAAGTATTTACTGTATAAAACACACAACTTTGTTTGGAGTGGTTTTCGTTATATCAATAGGCAGTTATTAGAAATTGTTGCAAAGATAAGTAGCTTAGTGCATTATCAATGTGTTTGTCACTTATACGCAGTCCAGAGAACGAGAAAAATGCAGGCTTCTTTGAAGTAGTGGCCCCACCCTTTCCCGTAGGCTGGAGTCCTTCATTGCATTTCACTAGAAGTGAGCATCGAGTGAGGGATGGTTTGGAGGCAAAACTTGCAAATGTTATATACTGTACATCACTTCTACCCACATTCCATGGCCCCCTTTACCCGCAGAAGAAGCTGGGGGATGAAGCCTAGCTGTATGCTCAGAAGAAGAAATGACATATTATAAAAGATAGTATTAATCACCACAATGACAGAATAAAATATCCATTCCACTTTCCTCATACACAAGGAACACTCACCTCTACCTCAGTGAATTCCCAAGAACCTGAGTGGGAAATGTGAAAGAGGAAGAAAGACGGGGGAGGAGGGAGGGAGGGAGGGGAGAGGAGGGAAGGAAGAAAGGAAGGAAAGGAATTTTTAAATAATAAAAAAGCTACATTTACTTGTCTTTTATGTCCTTTCCTTACATAGGCAGGTTTATTATGTCCTTTCCTTACATAGGCAGGTTTAGCCTTAAGATGTACAAACTGATGTTTCCTTGATTCAAAATGATTTGCAAGAAAGCCACAGGGAGCTAAAATTTTAGATTGAGGTAAGCAAAATGTCTTGCTCAGCAGCATCTTTGCAGAGACTCCCTTGTAGTGACACAAATCTCAACTGGCTGGAGGATACAGGTCGGGAGGACAGGCAGAAGATCTAATTCCTTAAAAAAAGATTTCTTATGAAATTTATATGAAAGACAGAACTATATGGAATCTAATGATCCATAACCTTTTCCCCACTCTTGGGAACCCTGTTTTGAGCAAAGATTTTCAAGCCTTTTTTGGTGAAAGAGGATAGAGTAAACAAGGACAATATAAATGAGACTGGCTAAGAGAGTCAACTGAAATAAATTCAATATTACGGTAATTAATTCCTGTCCTTGTTTGTTTGTTTGACAATAATAAATCATATAGTAGTTATGTCACAGATAGTCCCAGATCTCCAAATTTCATTTATATCATTAACATGGTTCTGTATTTATGGGTAGAATACATTCTGTTGGGGCACCAAACAAGCCCTCTGTATGTTCAGAGCAGACCAACAGAAGGCTCTGCTCATTGTCATCACTCAGGAATCCAGACAAACAGAGGCTGCATCTTGACATGAGCATCACAATCACCAGAGGAGTGGTAAGGAAAAGTTGACATGGCTTTCACATACATGCAGTAGAAAGCAAGATTCTTGGGCACTTACCACTTCAAGAAGAAGGAAAAATAAAAATATTCGGTCAATAGCACTTATGTTTTACACATATCCTAATCAAAACTCTAATGAAATTTTTGGCAGTGGGGAGAAGAATTTGGAAAAGCTATTGAAAATTCATCTTTAAATCTAGGCGGATAGGTAGATAAGCATTACAAAAGTATGAGAGGAATTAGAATGCCACAATAATGCATACAGAATATGAGAAGAATAGATACTTTGAATTGTTAATCAAGTTGTATATATTACAACATAATTACCATAGTAGAAACAATATAAATCAATTAGTACAGAATAAAATATTGTTGAGAAAAATAGCACTATATTTGCAGAAAATTAGTTTGGATATTTACGTCAAATCATATCCTAATCAAATACCAGAAAATTGAGTTAAATTTAAACATTCAAATCATTAAGACAAACTACAAGATATATACAGTAATTTTTCCCAAATCTCAAATAAAAAATACTTTATAAAAAGAAACACAATGGGAAGGTTGGTAAGGATAAATCTGATGATGTGTTACAAAGTTAAACTTCCTATTTACTATTTACTATTAAAAACTAAAATGCATATTTCTAGGAACAGATGGCAGGTTAAACATACTTTTACTGTTATTTCCTACAAACTACACAAAAATCTTCATAAGGGAATTTACTAAGAAAATATTAAGAAAAATGATTTTATGTTATTTAAGAGTGAGCAAGACATAGGTTTCCATTGAAAACCTTAGAGATACAAGAAAGTTTGAAATAACTTCTGTGTGAAATAATTTAAGAGAAGAGACCATAGATATACACACAGTGTAGAGATACATTCAAATGAACAAAACTTATGTGCTGCACTCAGCATTTGAAAACTCAGAACAAAGAATTAACTTTTGGGTTTGTCTTTGGCTCGTATATGTGACTTTTTTCCAAGAGGAGTGGAAGCCATGGTCTGATTAGGGTGTTAGAAATAGAAACTTTTTCTCACTGCTGGGCACATATAGTTGCCTTTAAATTAAAGGCACTCTTTCACAGAAATTTTGCTAAGGGCCAAGATCACAGATGTATAGTAGTATAATTTAAGAGGTTATGTGATTTTCTTTGAGAAATCCAGATATGCCCGCAGAAAGGGGCAGATGGTTCACTTAAGGTTGCAGAATTGTTTGTAAGATAAGAGCACCCAAAGCAAAATTAAGCAAGGAAACTGGAGATTAGTAGTAAAGGTGCTGGAGAAATCAACCAGGGCATATTGGCTGATAACAGAAAGACCTAAAACTTTTGGGAGAAAAATAGTGGTAAAATTGACACTGTAATATAAGCATACAATTAGCAGTTACGTCTAAAATCTGAATATAGGCATTAAAAATCTCAGAGGTGAATATCTAAATTACTAATTAGCATCATAATAGGAATGAATAGTATTTGCATTAAATTAAATAAGAATATCCACTACCACTATTATTATCAAATATTGTTCTGTAAATGTTGAACAGTGCAATGAATTATGAAGCAGAAATGAGTGATACAACTATTAGAAAGTGGAAAATAAAAATATTATTTGAATGTAGTATTTTTTCATACCAATAGAAGGAAGTCCATGAAAAAATTGCTTGAATTAAACATGGAGCATTTGGATGTAAAAGAAATATTCAGATATTAATAGTTTTTTATCAACATAAAAGCATTAGAAAATTTAGTGGAGCAATATTAAAATAACAACACCAAAAAGATGTATTATCCAAGAATAATGATCTCAATGAAAATGTTGGAAGGGCTGGGGATGTAGCTCGGTGGCGCTGTGCCTGCCTGGCAAGCGTAGGTCTGAGTTTGATCCCGGGTATCGGGGGGAAAAAAAAGAAAATGTTTGAGATTTGTATGAAGAAGAGAAAACTTTGTTAAAAAATGCAAGAGTTTGTTAAAAAGAAAAGAAAGACCCAAAGTGCAGAAACTATAAGCCAAATGCAACCAAGTATTTGAGATAAGGTAATAGAGTAATGGTGGGTGCTTTTTTGAGTAAATGCTAAGTTAAATGCGTAATTCATTGATACAGTACTTAAATAAGTAAGCTGTAATGTTCCTTAATGTACCTTTATTTGTATATTCTTCCAGAATTAGAAGTTTACATGTCCTATCATTATCACTGGCAGTTTTTCCTATTTAATGTGTTTTATCTAGAATTACACATCAAAAGAAATCATTACTTATTCAGAAATTTATATTAAAAATGTTACTGTCAACATAATTGCCACTTGTAATTATCTCCTTACAGTTCCTTTGGAAGGACTAAGGAGTCAAAACCAGTTTGATGAGATGAGATCAAGCTACATTAGGGAGCTCATCAAGGCAATTGGTTTGAGGCAGAAAGGAGTTGTTTCTAGTTCACAACGTTTCTATCAACTTACAAAACTTCTTGATAGCTTGCATGATGTAAGTATTTGTTTTCCAGAATATAAATGATTATTCTTTAAATTTTTCTGGCTTTTTAAATGTTAAATAAGAATTTTTATTGATACTGTTTTTTCAAATTCATATTTGTACTTGAATTATAAGAGTATTTGTATCACACTAAGAATTTATATTGTATATTTTTATTTTCAATGTAGGGCACTCAAGTATCCTTTCGCTAGTGTTTTGTTTAACCTGGGGGTAATTTAATGACCAATAAGAGTTATGATAATTTTCCAGAATATGTTCTAAAATATTTTTGCTTAAAATTAGAAAAGTGTTTGCATGTACAGTAAAAGTGTGGATGTGCAAAGTAAAATGTAGCATTTTAGATGAATTGTAAATAACATTGTTGGTGGGATGACAGGCAATATACAGAAAAGCTGATATCTGCATATTTTTCAAATTTCCACTTTTTAGAATTTATCTTTTCTTTTTGTACTGGGGATCGAACTCAGGTCCTTGCACTTGCGCAGCATTTAGAATTTATCTTAAAGAAAGAATTAGGTAAACATTTAAATTCTTGGAAATATTTCTAGGTTTTTTTCTTCTCTGCTATGGTAAACAGCCCAGAAATGCCTAACATGAGGACTGGATTAATAAAACAAGATATATGTGATTAGTCAAGACATATTGAATACAAGCTTTATTGCTGCTTTGTTTAGAAACCACATTAAAATGACAGTGAAGGCATAAAAAAGCTATTCACTCATCAGGTCAACTTTTAAGGCCTTACTCCTGAATATGAAGAGACTGCCAAGATTATGAGCTGTTTGAGTATAGTCTCTGAAATGAAAAAAACGTAGAGAAAAATAAGCATAAAAAAGTGCTTGCAGGAAAAAGCACTAGTGCAGAGAACAGAAGAAAACTAAGATACTCAGAGAAATAATAATGATATAATGTCCAAGAAAGGAGAAATAGAAGATACTCAAAAAGGAATGTTTAGCAATAAAATACTTTTAGATAATTAAATATAGAAGATCAGAAATTAAAAATTCAATAAAAGGGATAAATCATAAAGGAACTTCTGAGAAAAAAATCATTAAAATTAGAACATTGAAAATAGAAGAGATACCAATTTTAAAGGATTAATCGAGAGAGTTCCAACATTCAATTAATGGGAATTTCCATTAAGAAAGAATAGAGAAGAATTAGGAAGAAGAAATTGTAGTAATAAAAGTTGACAAAACTGAAGGATATGAATTTTCTAACTGTAAGGGCCAATGCACAGGCACTGCACAATTAAACCAAGGTATATTATAAAAGTTTTGCATACCAAGAGTGAGAATATCCTATAAATGCCAGTGATCAAAGAAATAAGTCACATACAATTTGTCAGCATTTAAAATGGCATTAGATTTCTCAACAGCAACACTGGAAGCCAGAAGACAATGAAATGATGCCTTCAGAATTTTGAGGGGAAAGAAAAAGTACAAACACAGTAAGCCAAAGAAGTAGTAGACCTAACTAAGAAAGATGCAAAGCAATGTCCCAACATAGTAATTGCACAGAGCAATAATTAGTTTTGATTGAAGGAGAGAATTCTAGACTACCAGGTTCAGGAAAAAATGGAACTAGGAGATTGTCAGCATGCATATACATATTGAGGTGCTACTTTACAATTCTGCCAGAGAATTTGACTGTGACTTCGTGACAAATACGTAGAAAACAAACAAATAAGAACATAAGTGATTATCTCTTGTAAAATAAAAACAAGTTGCATAAGAAAAAATTTTCAATCCACTAGGCAACAATACAGATTTTTACAATACAAATGCTAGATATTGAGTCCACAAAAAATTCAATATTATGTAGAGACTGGGACAAGAAAAATTCATTGAGGAGTGACATATATAGTATGAGAAAGGAACTAAATCCTATTTTGCAATCCACATTTTCCAGTCCTCAATCAATAATGTCAAAATTGGAAGGCAGAATTTATTAGAAATGGTGATAAATATTAAAAGACACAGGCTAAAAATACTAAAGTCATTGTATCTGGGGAGCTGAAATAAGAATAGGGAGACATTTTGGAAGCTACTAGATTTTGTTGTTGCTGATGCTGCTGTTTATTTTATAAATCTTGCAGTACTATTTGATTTTTTAAATTATATATAAATTACTTTAATAGAAATAAAAATTAGAATAAAATTAATTATGTTGAATTATTGACATAGAAAGAGTAAAGATATCATGGAGAAAAGCCAGATAATATTTATGAAATAGTTGCATTTTGAAATGGTGTGTGTATAATATTGCATATCTACTTGTATATGGGTACAAAAAGTAAACAAAAATACAACAAAATATTCAACTTGTTTATCTTGTGGGGACATGGCCAGAATTTATTTCTTTAAATCTTTTCCTATTATCAGAATGTTCCATCATGAGTATATAATATTTTGCATTTATTTCAGAGAGTGGTGGGAATTATTTTCATTTTGGAAAGAATAAAACATCTTGATAAGTATTTCTATTGGTAGAAAAGTAAGTTGTGTTTGAATAGCATATGAATTTATTATTTTTCTTACCTGTCTCCCTTCCATTTCTTAAACCAACAGCTGGTCAAACAGCTTCACCTATACTGCTTGAATACATTCATCCAGTCCCGGGCACTGGCTGTCGAGTTTCCGGAAATGATGTCTGAAGTGATTGCTGCACAGTTACCCAAGATCTTGGCAGGGATGGTGAAACCTCTTCTCTTTCATAAAAAATGAATGGCATATTTTCCTTTAAAAAGTTTAAATTTTGTGGTATGTACTTTTGTGGTGGTTAGGATTATGAGGTTTCTAGTTTTTATAAAATTCTTCTGAAAGCCTTACCTTTATAACATATCATGCAGTGTAAATTTATGTGAAAATTGTGGGATTCTAATTTTCCCTTGTAAAGCTTAAGTAGAATTTTTAAAGCGTTCTTGTGTACTTATATTTTATTTGAGTTTACAAGAATGAAAAAGTACTAAAACTTGAAGTAAGCTCTGTCTTATCTATATTATTTCATACCACTTAGGTGAGGATTTTTAACCTTTACAGCTAACAAATCTACTTTAGAGAAAGAGAACTTACCTGTAATAATAAAAAGCTATTATATGTGTTACTTCTAGGTAGTTCCCTTTGTTTCTGTAGTTATAACTCCCCAAATGAACTTTTAAAATGGTAGGAAAAAGTTAATTTCTGTGAAAATTCATAACCAGATTTTCAGAATGTTTTTAATGCACAAAATACAGGTCCAGACTTTAAAACCACTGAAACAAATTAATAGGTAAAATAGGTCTTATACTGGCTGTTTCCCAGATTGGAAACACAGATCAATCTGTAAAGAAAGTTGTATTCAACCATGTCATTAAGACCACAGCTGTGGAAATTTTGTAGATTTTTTTTTACTAACCTTCTTTAGGAGGGGCTCATCCTCAAATAAGGTATTTTGAAAAGAAATAAATAATAAGAAGATTCTGGGACGTAATTCCCCTCCTTTCCATCATTGGCATGTAGAAAGTCAGCCTTTCCAGTTTTCAGTTTCCTCACCTTTAAAAGTGGTGTAATATTATTTTTCCTGTCAAATGCTTCTTTTGGCCAGAGCTTGTTATTAGCATTTTCTCAAATCGAAGACAAGACGAGGGGGGCAGTATTTTTTTTCTCCACTGCTCAGTGAGGATGATGATGATGATGCTCTTTCAGTGAAGCACAGTAGATGAATCTCAGGTTGAAATTTTTTTGTGTGTCTCTGATCCAAATGTAAGAGAGATACTTCAGGAAATAGATGAGTCTCAGGTTGAAAATTTTTGAGTGCCTCTGACCCAAATCTAGGAGAGATGTTTTAGGAAATACTAGATACTGGCTTAAAACAATACAACCAATTACAGTAACTAGAAAACACAGTGCACATTGTTATTTTAACAGAAAATATTCCTTTGAAAGAGAGATGAAAGTTATTTCCTGAAATGAATCGCTGGAGATCCCTTTTAAAACAACAGAAAATATATATATACATATGAACCAAATTTATACCACTAGTGAAATTCAATCAAAATAAATTATTAGTTTTTTCATAAAGTAAAAACCAATTTTAGACATAAATATATGTGTGCAGTAGTATTTAACAACTCAGAGAAACTAATATCCTCAATATTTTCTAAGTTTCTTCTAAAGTAGACACATTGCTATCTCACAAAAAATTGCACATATTAATAGTTAATAAACTTTTCAAACAATAGAAAAATTCTATTAGGCAGTTTCTAATTTCCTAATGCATTTTTAAGTACTCACTTCTTTTAACTGATAAGTATTCACAGTTTACCAAAGGACAATAACAAAGTAATACTCTTAATAAGTATGTAGTCCTCAAAACAAGGTAAAGTGGTTTCATTTGGTGAAAAATTGGCATAATTATGTTACCATAAATTTAACAATACAGTCTTCAGTTTTAGAAATTAGTTAGCTACGGGGTTATCTATAAATAATGGATCTCTATAGGAGATTTTAAAATAGGAAGTAAAATAAGCTCTAACCAGGACCCTTCTTGGCTTGGGTTGATTAGATCTGTGTCAAATCTAATGGCAACATAACTTATGATTATAACATTCAACAACAATTAAACCCACGCATTTCAAATATTCTCAACATTAGAATAGAAATAGCTGCTTCCTCACTATCTATGTCAATGTCTTTTTATATAACATATATGCAATAACATTATACTCTTCACTGGTATTTGGTTCTTCAGTCTTCATACACATACACATATTCTCTCTTCACTCTTCAGGCCACAGTTATTCCCCCCCCAAAAAAACCGGATCTAATACCATGCCCTCACTGAAAAATATTCACTAATTTTCAGTCACCTGTCACTCATAGCTTCATATTGGAATTTCCAAGTGGGTTTTGTAAAAATACCATTACCTTAAAAAATTACCTGAACTCCATCCTTAGCAATTATATTTCACCCAGTCCACTGGATATACTCTTATTTTGTTCCAACCATAGCAATCTTGTAACATTAATTTTTCTTCCAGAATTTTCTGTTGATATTATAAATCCCATGAATTTATAAGCCTTCAAGACTCAGCCAAATATCATTTCTATAGTCTTCTCAAGTCTTTAAGATGACTTACTTTCTCCTAGGTTCATCTGCCATTTTGTACACATCTGAACTACAGAATCATGTAAATTTTTCATTCTTCTGCAAGTCTGAGAATCTCTTGGAGATGGGACAATAGTGTTTTGTTAATGAAGAGTTAAGTGACATATTCTGTGTTTTCTGTCACCATGAGTCTCTATCATTCTTTGGTTTCATTGCTGAGTATATTTGTACTTATGACTTACCACTTTTTCCATGTCTCTTTTTCTCATGATCTTATCTCAATCTTCATTTTTCTTCCTCACTTTTAAATTTTTCCCCCTTTCTCCTATTTTGTGAGATGTAGTAGGTATAAATCACAGGGTCTGACAAATAGTGGAAAATTGAATATTTGTTGAATATATAAATTTTCATTCATGAGATTTGATAGGAGTAAGGTATTATTGACATAGAATTTTACTAAGGAAAATGTAGCACAAAGTCACTACTTTAAAAATTAATATTAAATAACTTCCGAATATAGTCAGGGTTCAATAATTTATTTGCACTAAATCAATATGTACATTTTTTATTAAAAAAGCATTCAATTATTTTTCTCACAAATGTCCTCTTAATAACAGTATTTTTAATATATCCTGTACACAATAGTTAAGGGAAATTTACTTCTGTGAAAGTGTTTGTAAAAGAATGTAAAGTGTGTCCAGAAATCAAAACCAAAAAATATGTCATCACCCTTAAACTCAGGTAGTAAACCCAGGAACAGTTGCGATGTGACCATTTTATTATCTGATTCTCCTTACTTTGAATAAAAACAGTAATTTGATAGTACAAATCCTTTTCCACCATCACAATTTAATTTCCAAAATAACTTTAAATTTTTCTAATTTTACTTAACTGTCAAGGAATACAATGTGTCGGCACAGGGTTGGGTGTAACTGTTGTTTGGCAACTTCATAAGAATGTTTGATATTCTTGATTTTGATCTTGGTCCACAATGTAGATTTCTAAACAATAGGATTTAATACTTAAAGGCTAAGATTAGATAAGGAAACAATAAATTCCAAAAAGAACATGACATTACCAAATGGAAGCTATCTAGTCTCTAAATCTTTTACTACACAAATTCCTACTATTAATGTCTCTATTACTATGTAGCCACATAATCTTTGTCTTGGTTTTGCAGGTCATGTTGTTTTTGGTAGCTCTAAGGTAAAATTAAATCTTAAGAAGACAAGTTACATATCAAGAATACTTGATGATTACTGAAACAGATTTTTTAATAAATGAAAACAGTTTTATTAAATTGAAAAGCTATTTGAGTCAGAAGCAATTACACCTCAGATATTGTGTTTTTACTGTTTAAATGACTTTTTAAAAATGTTTAAATATGGGGCTCTTTTTACTTAGGTAACACTATGCTATTCTTTTTCACTTTTAACATTAAAATAATTTATTGCTACACAGATGATATTCAAATAGGATAGGTAATATGTTTCCTACTGAAACCCTGCCTTTTAAATAAATAAGCATTGCATGTGCACCCATATTCCCAAATTATCCACAGCTAAATTGATGTATTTAACAGTGGTCTAACAGAAAGAGCTGACCTAGGGCTATCCCACTGTCTTGCCACTTTCTGGATGAATGAGTATAAGTCATGCAGTCTCTCTCATTAAACCTTTGCAATCTTTTTTGTGATTAATAGAAATGGAAACAAAACATATACAAGTGTCCAGAAATAGTAATTGTCCTGATTGTATTTTCATTAAGCCATGGCCTGGCTATGATTTTATCAAACTAATTGTCTGTATTCTATAGTGAAAACAGAAGTCTAGAAAATCTAATTCCTTTACTTCTATCGGTATGTATGATTATATATTTAGCTGATTTGATTTGTAATTAGGGCTAGATGTATTCGATTAATTTCTTCCCTTGAAAAGATAGTCATTTGAGTTTAAGGCCTGTTTTCTCAGAAATCTGATGAGACTATCACACTTTTATTATAAATATCCAAGAATAATTATATTGACGTTGACTTTTTCAAGTATCTCTTTAAAATACACATATCCTGACTAGAACACACTCTTCCAAAAATCTATGAACTACATGCTCAGATTATTTTTACTATGGCAGTAACTCTACAAAATGCAACAATGGAGTTAAAAATCATGAATTTATCAACCAAAAATGACATTCCTATCCTAAAGAAGGTTATTATGAAAGAGATCTTCATATCTACTTTGATTTGATATCTAGGATGGCTATTATATTTTTAGTTTTTGCTGTGAATACCCAAATAATTTCTGTGAACTGTATTTTCCCTGTACATGTCAGATTTCAGGACAGAATATTAATCCTTTTAAATATTTTTTAAACTCCATAGCCTTCTATATAAGAAACCCTCAAAACTGAAAAATAAATTTTAATTTAAAGATATCTCATTTTTGTATTCAGTTAACCAAAAAATTGTCCTGCTACTAATAAAGCAAAATTGACAAGAGAATAGCTCAAGCAAGACATAACTTTCTTTTTCACCAAGTAAGCCTTTCAAATAGCACTGGATATGGGAATTTCTATATCATTTAAATTTAAAAGAAATACATAGCCATACCTTCTAAAGAAGTTTACCAAGTCCTAAATTGTTTATAACCACTTGACTAAGTCATGAATTGTGGTTCTGGTTTCACGGTTTCCCTTACTCAAGCTTGGGCAAAAGGACAGTCTGTCTGTATGTAGCATCTGCTATCTATTTAATTAACATTCATTAACATTAGCATCATTCTATGCTCTCTGGACCTAAAATCCAAAATTGAATAAAGAAAAGTAAAGCAACTGACTATTCATTTCATATTATTGAATACAATCCAACCTGCATTGGTCAATATGCTATAATATAAATCCAAGTTTAACTGGGCTAGATAATAGTTCAAAGTGGATTACACCCTATTCAAACTCAAGAAATGGCCCTATAGACCACCAGTTAGCTAATAAAATTAGTTAACTAATAAAAATTATACCTCCAGGGTCAAACTTGAATCAGTGTGGCCTTAAAAACTGAAAATGATGCACAAAGAATAGTTTCCTTTAATAATTTATTCCCCCCGTAATTAGAGAAGATTTAAGAATTTGAGGAACATTGGTGATTAGTAAAATAGGAGCAGTTTATAGCAGCATCCGCCGGGTTGATGCTAAGGGAAGAAAAACATGAAGGGATCTGTTCCCTCTTAGGAGTTGACCGCATTCCAAGGCAGAGCTCTAGGCACATGCCTGGAGGCTGCGCCCAGGCTTGTCCAAGCTGTATACAGCTGTGGAGTTTGGAAAACTCTCGCAGGATTGCTGGATTAGTCCCAGAATGTCAAGCTCATTTTCAGTTTACTGGCTCTTGTTGCTTTATGTCACGCTGACCTTATTGTTAAACACAGGTTTGTTTGCTTTCATACCACTCATGGAAAAATAGGGAAAGCATTACTTTTAAGCTGGTCAAAAGCATTAACTGACAAAGCACTTTCAGAGAAATGTGAATTAGGCAGCTAAGAAGCATACTGTCCCCATTACTTTAAAGAAAATGTACGGTCTTATTAACTCTGCAGTGTGACATTAGTGTCATGGACCATATTTAGACAGCTATGAGTAAAATATTTAAATAGCATTGTAAATAGTTTTCAGGACATACACTGCAGTTTATTTTTATTATCTTTTGAAATTGCTCTTAATATATCAACTCCAGATGTATCCAAGTTACCAAACAAAAATTATCCTAAATGAAACCCACTTAAATATGTTTTTCTTTTGTCAGTTATACATAAAGCTTAACATTTCTTAAGCTATGATGTTTACTTCCATATGATTTTTATTGTAAACTATTTTATACAGTGGCTATTTTAAGCTTTTTGCCATTGAAAATACATTTTGTTACCCTCCTTCCCCAGAAAAGCTTATATTTTAAAGTTTCCACTGAACTATGATCCTATGAAGATATAGTCATTTTAATTTTGTAATGTTTTATTATTTAAAGACATACCAATTAGAACTGCAGAGCAGTGGAACAATTATGTCCACACTAATTTGGTATTTTTGATGCAGCTTTAACCTGGTGGACACAAACATTTTATTTTTTTCAATAATAGTAAAACAATCAATGGACTTCTATCATAGCTTTCCTAAAGTGGCCTCTTAACCAGAGATTTGAGGTCAGACTTGTTTCTTTGTTTTGGTTTGGTTTGGTGTTTTGGGGTACCGGGGATTGAACTCAGGACCTGCGCTTGTGAGGCAGGCACAGTGCCACTGAGCTAAATAAGGTTAGAGTTTTTTATATAACATTTTATTCTAAGGCCTTTAAAACTCATAAGAAAGACCAAAACAGTGTATAGAGAATTAATACCAATATGTCATGTCTTTGTCAGAGCAGAGATGCAGCTCTGCTTCTTCTCTCTGGATTAAACACACTGCCCAGAATTTATTTCAGATGGTAATCCCAGTATTTGATATTACTAAGGATAGAAAAAGATTTTCATATGGAAGCATTTACTCAGTTTAACCAATAAATTATCTTAACTTTAGTGTTCTGTATATTTAATTTTATGAGATGTTCATATTCACAAGAAATATCAGAGCAAAGTTTTTATTTAACATTTTTATAAACCAAAAATCCTTTTTTATTGATATTTGGAATATAGATGAAACAAAAGTTCTCTGTATTTTTGAAAGAGTAGAATGATTTAACAAAGGTTAAATGGAGAGCTGTCTTAAATAGTAATATTTTTCTTTATTAAACATCATGATCACACAAAACCTGAAAGATTGTTATCTATGATATCAACATGCTAAATGTTAGAAAAATTATCATTTGCTATCTAAAGCGTAAAATACAGAAAGGCTTTTTTCCTTTCTGTTTCTTACTGGAAATATTCCAATTTGCGGCTACATGGTTTAGAAAAATATAATTACTCCATAAACTCTACTCTGCTTTCAACTAATGGTGTCTTAACTTGATATTAATATCAAGAAAGACTAAAGTCTAGAACCAAATTATCCCTTTTAACTCTGAAAGTAGGATCAAAGTACCATGTTGAACTCTAAAACTACAAGCTTTCTAAACATTTTACATCACTGTATCACAGGCAATTCTTGGTTAATAAAAGAAAAATATGCCCTAAAACACAAAAACAAAATACAGTGGGGTTTCTTTGGGAGAGGGGTAAAGTTGAAAAGCATTAATTTGGGTATCATTTTATTTTTTAGCAATCAGCTAAGTAGCATTTCCTGTGTTGTGTGCCAATCACCCTGTCAAATGTTGGAGATAAGTAGGATGACTAGTGAACATATTAGTTTCCTCTTCCCCAGCTTCCTTCAAGGGGAAATAAAGACAGATAAACTAATAGCTCTATAGTATTGTGAGTACTATGATGACGAACTTATAAGGGAACTATAGGACCTAAGAGTAGCACCTAGCTTAAATTTAAGAGTGGGCAAAGGCATCCTGAAAAAGGTCAGATATAACACATAATCTAAAAGTTATTGAAGCCTTAGCTAAGCAAGCAGGGTCAGCTACCATAGGCAAAAAAAGAGTATTCCAAACTAGTTACCAGCATACACACAAAAAACAGGTAACAACACACATATGGTGATGACAGCAAGTGTAGGGTGTGGGCTGATAATGAGACTGAAGAAGAGACCAAAATCAGATGTCATTGGCTTTGAATACCATATTAAGGAATGTAGATTTGATTTGGCTGTAAACAAAGCAGCACAATTTATGTAAATATATTAGGAAACTCTTCTACTACCGTGTGGAGTATTAGCTAGTCCAGAGGCACTGAACAATTTTAAGGAAGTTGCAATGTTTTGGTGAAAATAATAACCGTAAATATTAAGAGCTAGAGGTGATCATGACCTCCTCATTTTCCAGAAGGGTTTCATAAGATAACTTAGAAGCATTGACAGAATGATGAAAGTAGATGAAATACACCATATAAATTGCCAAACACAAGACCAGATGTCTAATTATTCTGCTTCTGTGTTGAAATTGCAAATTTTCAAGACAGACAATAAATACTAAGAAACTTGTTTTACTAAACCCAAGAATCATATCTCTCAAAACAATTTCTAGTCCTTCACCAATATCCCCACCTTTGTATGTCCCTCTAGTCTCATAATCCAGGTCTGTGCACAAAAATAACACCAGAACAGCTCAAGGTCCAGCAGATGGAAAAGAACAAGAAACACAGTGATACTAATGTAAAGCAAAATAAGTATGTCTTTCTTATATATCCTTCAGATGTCACAGTTCAGTAGAATTACAAAATGGAATAAGCACAACAAACAAAAACTAATTTTTAATGGAGGATCTGGACTTCATGAGCTCTCCCAACAACATGAGGAGCTGAGGAAGGGAGAATTGCTGAGTGGTAGGTTGAGAAGCAAACTTAACAAGAATATGACTATCTCTTTGAGCGTAAGAGATGTTTGGAGCCTTATGTCTTATTCATTAGTTTTTATCAACGGTCAGTCTTCCTTTTTACTTCCAGTAACCAGACAGCAGCTAGCAAAGGAAGGGGTTTTACTATACTGTGTATAAGCATAGTGATGGAAAGGGAGGATATGTTTAAATATGCTTTCAAAATTCCTGTGAGGTTTTCTGTCATGAGGATAGGACTTTCCTTTCATTTGCTTAAGCCTCACTGGGCACTCCAGTCACTTGCCATGCCTAGTTATGAACTCAGTGCTGTCATCTCATATATCAGTCTATAGCTTGTGAATTTCCCTGTTCTTCTTGCCCAGTACTGCAGGGTACCGTGCCTTTTCTTCCTTGATACTTTCCATTCCTTGCTGATGCAACAAATTCCTCTTAGATGATCTGTTTTCCCATCTGGCTTTTACTGTGATGTCACCTTGTTCTTTCAGGAGGACCATGGTTCCCACTAAACCTCCACCCAGCTAGCACCAGGCTGAATATAGGCTTCTCTGAGATGTTGCATATTTTACAGTCCCAGAAAGGGCTCAGATTTCTTGAACTCCCCTCTTTGTCTAGAGATTCTATTGCTTATCTCTCCTCTTTAAAATTTAGTCCCAAAGTGTGGGAATCTGACCTCCTTACCCTACCTCTTACTTCTTCTGCAGAGTAGCCTCTCATTCCCTGCTTCTGTCATTTGGAGACAGTTCTTGTCATGCATTCCTAGTCGCTCTCTCTGGCTGAGTCCACTGCCTGAGGATACTTTTGAGATTTAGAAAAATATTTTTCTCTTAGAAAGCTCTGCTCTACAAACGTGCCTTGCTATGGTTATCAAAGACCAATGGAGGAAGTCAAGTTGAATTCTGATTTTAAGCATTTCTGCTATAACAACTAAAATTCTCCTCAGAACAACATGCCTTCCTTCAAATGACCTGAAGAAGAGTCAAGTGCCAAAAAGACTAACACAAAGATTAATGTATTTGAATAAGCATGTATTTCAATGTGCTTTGGGAATTCACATGAGGTTTTCTGTCATGAAGATGGGAATCTCCCTTTATCTGCATACCTCTAACAGTTTTTCTGCATGGGCTGCTGACAGTTGCAAATCTAAAAACTGGGTGATCATGTAATCCTAACACTACCATCACATACTTATTTTCATGTAAGGATTTGTATCCCCTTAAAACAATTTGATTTAAATATATGTTCTCAGATTTTATGCTGAAGTTGATTAAATATTCAAAGAAATCCACTCTTGCTTATTAGTGAAACTAGTGTTACAGCTGGCAAGAGATGTGGGGAATCATCATTTCTTCCTCATGACCTGTGCCCTTTTTGGTTCTCTTTGTTTTGTTTTGGTTCTCTACTGTTTTGAATATATAGTAGGTCACTAAGTACATTCACAACACTTAAACTTTTAAAGATATTTAGCCCCAGATACCTACTTCTTGAGTGTAATTTTATACCCCCAGCTCTCATTTCTCAGTGGGAAAGACAATATTTGAAAGTATGTTAGAAATTGAAGGATTTTGCTAAGGTACAAACTAGCACTGGTTCCCTAGAAATGACTGGGTGACAACTGCAGATATGTAAAAATTAGGTGATAGAGGGAACCTAACATCATCTTATACTTATTCTCAATCTAATGTGAAAAATTACATCTCTGTTTTTAAATTAAAAGTGGATTTCAGAGGAAATATTTTTTGACTCAAACAAGAAAACTGAGTCAGTTCCGATTACCAGATGTCATACATCAAATTGGCTATTACTTTGAAATGAATCATCTTCAAATCACATGCTTCTTAAAAACAATAATGGGAGCCGGGTATTGTGGCACACTTCTCTAATCCCAGGCCTGTAGGAGGCTGAGGTGGGAGGAAAGGGCAAGTTCTACCCCAGCCTGAGCAAATTGGCAGTTTAGCAAGACCCTATCTCAAAGTTTTAAAACATGAAAAAGGGCTGGAGATACAGTTCTGCAAGAAGACTCTGGGCTCAACCTTAGTACCACACACACACATGCACACATACAAAATATATGAATGTGATAACAAGAAATTAACTATTTTCTGTATTTCTCTTTATTAATGAATTAGAGCACCTAAAATCCTCTCTGCTATATAATTACATAAAGGTACATACAAATCAATAGTACATTATTCTTTCCTACTTACTTTAAATTAAAAACATTTCACTTTGTATGTACATGGTATAAGGTAAGATTCAGTACACTTAACATTAAAGAGAAACAATGTAACTTAATTGCAAATAACAGTATTTCAAACTCTTTGTAGGATTATAATTTAGTATAGTACTGAGAATTTACAGATATACCCATTTTAGAAATAAGCGTCTCAAGTGATGTTGGGTCTTTGAAGACAAAAAGACAAAAAAGTAGAAAAAATTTCTTGTTCTAAGTTCCAGATGGTAAGATGCTAGATTTTACCAGCTGTTTAAAATGTAAACATACTTATTTCTTTAAAATCAACTGGCTTTGGAGTAAATTGGAAAAACCAGAAAGTTTTATTCAACTATTTGGCCATGAAAATATCTCACAAAATAAAATTTATTCCTGGTTAATACTATTTTCAGTTTTTAAATTAAACATGACCCATATTCATGTTTAAATAATTTAAATAATATTGAGAAACTTCATACTTAACTTATAAAACAATGTGTTTTTGTAAATATTTTATTCTAATCATTGGTGGAGTTTTTCTACTTTACAGTTAGGTATTTGATGAATGAAGAGAAAATATGTCTATAAATGTTACATGTAGGGTTTATTCGTCTATTACCTGTTGTCACTATTTCGACAATATGGAGTCACTATACTAAGCTAGAGTATATGGCTCTAATGCCTAAGAACCTAATTCTAAATATCTACTTTCTTAAAGCAATGTTTTATGTAAATGGCAGAATGTTATATTTACCTACTCAGATGAAGACAAGTCCCATCTTAAACAAATAGAATAACTATAGAACGCTGAGAGCAATGATCAGTTGTTTGTGAGAAGCTTGGAATTCATCATGCCTAAATGACTTAAGTACTCTTTGAAAAAGCAAACTATTCT